AGGTCACTTTGTAAAGACTAAAGGTCAGTTTTATATTATTGGATACAGTAACATGAGAGCACATGTGCCTTGTCATTGTAACTTCTGTATTGTAAGCCAGGCACAGCTGAAATGTCAATATAATAAAAAATCATAAATATATAAAAATATATAATGTTATGAGATTTAAGTTATTTAGTCTAAACATTTATGGTTTTGTTATAATTTGTTGTCATTCTAGAACAAAAGAGGCATAATTTATATTTATTTCCTAATATTTTATGGGGGTTACAAGATCAGTCAAATTGACCAACCAGTATAGAAATTCATTAATGCATAAAAATATTTTTAATCTTAAAATGAAAATTACTTTGCATGTTGGATAGGCAACATGCGAAAAGAAAAAGGGTATGAGAAAAACATTGCTTAACAAACCTTAAGACTTGATAAAAAAAAATATATATATATTTTGTCTATGAAAGCTTTGTAATATTTACTGATAATCTGTTAAATGTATTTTTTTTTTATTAATCACTTTAAAACAGTTTCCCAGACTGTTTTGTAGAACCGTGAGGTTTCATACGAGAAAGGTTTGTGTAGTGTAGTCAGAGTAAAAGAGCGGGCCAGGTATAGGTATGGCTTAAAACCTTGTTAGCCCATAAATCATACCACCCTGTATTCACTTTGTCATTGGCTATTTTATTTATTGGTGGAATCTAATTGATGACTTGCTGTAAGTTTGTCACTAGTTATAGTTGAGTGCAGTGTTTCAAGGAAACAACAAGCTAGTTTTGATTTAACTTTTTTAAACATAAGAATGTTTCTTAAGGGTTCCATCAATAGTTATAGAACTCAAAAGTGTTTCGTGGCTGAAAAAATTTGGGAAATGCCGCTTTAGAAATACATTTTCTCAATTAATTATTTTATTTTTTCTATTGAAAGAGCAAGAAAATCTTGACTTTGAATACCATAAAATAAGATAAAAATACTATTGTATTTTATTAAATGTGTCAAGCTTAACAAGATACTTACTTTAATAATTGTGATATTTTATACAAATTTAAAATGTTAGTTTCAGAAAATTGAAAGCTTGCTGTCTAAAGAAAATAAATTCATCTTGAATTATAACTATAGATTGCACAGTAAGAAAAATATGTAAAAATTATATTTTATTTGGTTAATATGGATATAAATGAAGTAGAAGCTCAAAAAAAGGATGGGTCACTTGTAGAGTTCATCAGGTATTTTGCATAAAAAAAAAGATTGATATACTTTGTCTTGGAAGACTCAAGAAGTTTTAACCACTTTTTTGAGCTTTGTTTTGAAGGAACATTTTGATTTAGTGCAGATGATCATCCAGTCTCTGCAGGCAAGTTATGACAGATTTATGATTAGGTATAGCTCTAAAACGGATTTTTATAAATTTTAACTTCATTTAAAGAAGGTACAGAAGGTGGAGTTTTAAAAGATACTTTAGAAGTTTGTAGTTGATGTTGTGAACATAAAGAAACATTGTGGATTTTTTGCATATTTTTGTACTGTGCTGGAATAGACATTTAGATTTTAAATAGTTATTTAGAATTATAGTGTATTGTTTTGTTTTTGTCTTGAAAAGCAAAAATAAATAATTAAGCTAAACTTCAAAAAATTAATTGAGTTTGACATGTGTCTTCTTCCTGGTTCTTTTAATGTGTCAGTGATTCTCTGTTTTACAGCTAGTAGTTATACAATTTGAGGTTAAAGGGATCATTAATATCTTGAATTTAATTAGAAAATATAGTTGAAGAAGTTGAATTCTGTCAGTGTTAACTGCAAAAATTGTTGTCTTTGAGGCCTTTTTCTAAAAATGTTTTTTTGATATGAAGTGTTGAATGTTAGGTGTAATAAATTAAGCTGGTATTGTCCAGATGACAGATGTTACCTACATAAAGATGGAGTTTATTAGATTCAGTGGAAATAGCATTTTTACTATGATGTCTGATAGAAAATGTAAATTCAGGGAATCCTTTGCCTTAAATTAGGTAAGTTTATTATGCTTATAAAAGTAATTTTTTAGTCAAGTTACTACACAATTTTATATACTCAAGGATGGTATCTGGTGTAAGATTAGTTTCAAAGTGGAATCCTCTGTAAAGATTTTAGTTTTTGAAGTGTTGGCAATAGGTAATTTGTGAATAGGCTTATGACAAAAAAGATGGCATGGTAGTTTTGAGGTTTTTCTGGTACATTCTCCATTTATTAGTGTTTTTTACTGTATATTTTTGTTGCTTTAGAGTTTAAATCAGGAGACAAGCTGGATGTATCGTTTGCACTGACAATTGATCATTTACTTAAATGTTAGGCTTGTATTACTTTATTCAAACCATACAAGGTTGTGAAAGTAGTATTGGGTACTAAGTTAGGGATTCTGTGTAGACTTTTGTCCAGTGCCACCTACAACGAAAAAACATATTGCTGCAATAATATAGGTTTTGGTTCAATAATTTGTTGCTTTTAGTTTTTATTTTATCATTACATTAAATGAAAGCATGTTTATTCCTACAGCTGTGTTTTATGAGCAGAAAGATTATGACAAGTGTATTAAAGAGTGTGAAAAAGCTATTGAAGTTGGAAGAGAATACAGAGCAGATTTCAAAATTATAGCAAAGTAAGTATTTATTACAATTATTACAGATTAAAATATTAGCTTGGGGGAATTTTTATAAAAAATGCTTTAGAAACATTTCTGAATTGTCTGAAAATTAGCTCTATTCCTACTTGTGTACCCTATAACTGTCTCAGTTTTGTTTTAGCTACAGTTCTTGCTTGGTAACATTTTAACTTTTTAACTACAGTTAACATCATATGATGCAAGCATTTTGAATGGCCCACTGCAAAAATGTATGAATCTTTGAGCTTGACATGGTAGACAGATTTACACAAGCTGCAAATGTAGGATTAAAAGTTTACAGCTATGGTCTGAAGTAACAATTTTTTATGGCTCTATGCTCTTTCAGATGTTTTACTCTTGATCTTTTATATTTTAATGGACTAACTATAACAGTACATTGTGTTGAGTAGGTCTGCTTTATGATGTGAGGATTGTCAGGATAAATTACAAAGTAAGTCTAAATTTAACTATTGAGTTTCAAACCTAAGAGATAAAGAGACTAGGCATGACATGTTTTACAAAATAAAAACAATATTTATTCAATAGGAAAAACAGTTTACACACTTGTATTAGAACACTGGACAGTCACCTTCTACTGGACTCTTATATTGAGCAACCAGCATTTTCCCTTAAGACGTTTTTCCACCAACCAAGTCACTTGAGATCTGGTTTAAACTCTGTAAATCTGAGAATGAGAATTGTCAGATTTACCTTTAGTGACTAGTGTGATGTATGTAACTGGTCATTCTTATTTCACATAGGGAAGGCTCTAACCTCTAGGCATCACCTGTCATTACAGAAATATACCCTGTGAAAAGAGCATTATTATCCCCAGAAAAAACATTCTACATTAACCCTATCTTTATAGGTCTTCCTATGGTCAAGGGTCAAAGGGCATGTCATCATGTTTGTAAACTTACATTCAAAATTTTATTGAACTACTCTTTTATGAATGTATGCCAATAAGTTTGCTATCAAATTGTAGATTATAATTTAAATTTTAGTATTATATATATTAGTTAATTTCTTAATATCAATATATATGTGTTATGTGGTATGTTTTGTTCAAATTAGATTTTTGGAATGTTCATATACAAATCTATAGTTTCTTACTAATTAAAAATGTAAATTTCCAATATTGACAAGCTAGAATAGGAGATAAGAACATCCTATCTTTTCTATTTTCTGAGATATTATTATATTTAGTGAATCAACCAAGGTGGCCCTGCCCACCTCTTCCATTTTTGGAAATACTTGCTTACATACACCTACTTCGCTATAACCAATTGAAAGCTCAGAATGTCCCCCACATGGTTTTATCAGTCTCTGTGAAGTATGTACATGGGAAAATTCTCTTTTCCATGGTAGAATTCAAGCGGAAAGGTAGGAGATAATGGAGTTTGAAATATCGTATTTTTTTAGACCTAAATACAGCTTAGTTACTAAGCCTGATAAATTATAGTGGAATTCTGTGGTATTGATATAGTAATTTATGATTTTTTGTTATTTTAAAATGCATATATAAAACAAAAAATATTTTGTTTTACCTACTCCATTGTGTGAAATTTGACAAGGCTTAGCAAATTATGATGAGCAAGTACAAAGTTTGTAAGTGGAAGAGATCATTGCATTCTATACTTTTTTATTTACTGTTTTATGTTTTAAGAAAGATAACTGAAATTTAAGAACGTATTTGTAAATAGTAATGTGTGTGTGTGTGTGTGTATATATACACACACACACACACACACACACACACACACACACATATGTAATGTATTATAGCTGAAATTTGATTGTATTTTACAAAAAGATAGTGCACTAGAACAAAACCAAAACAAGTCACTTTGTAAAGGCCAGTTTTATATTATTGGACACAGTAACATGATTCCATGTGTGCCACATTATTGCAACTTCTGTACTGTTAGTCAGACATGACTGAATGGTCAGTAAGATAAAAAATAATAATAAATATGTATAGATGTATAATGTTATGAGATTTAAGCTATTTAAACTAAACATTTGTGGTTTCATATTATTATCTGTAGTCATTCTAGAACATAAAAATGCTTAATTTGTATCAATTTTCGAATTTTTTTATGGTGGTTATGAGGTCAGTCAAATTGACCAAACCCATACAGATACATTTGTGAAAATAACAAATAAAATTGAAAAGTTTGTTCTAAACAAAAAGTTTTAGTAATTACCTGGGGGTTATTAGGAGGTTATAAAGATTTCACATGTGAACCTTGACAATTTTCTGATGCATAAAAGTAATTTTAATCTTAAAATCAGAATTACTTTGCATGTTGGATAGGCAACATTCAAAAAGAAAAAATGCACAAGCAAATCATTAATTAAAAAATCTTAAAACTTAATAAAAAGAATTCTGATATTTTGTATACAAAAGCCTTGTAATGTTTACTGATAACCTTGAAAATTTTGTGAAGATATGCATATTGTATTAAAAGTTATAATATAAGAACTATAACAAGCACAAAATAGTTACGAGGTTGTATCCTGGGACCGAGCTTGTGGTGAGATACTTGCTTATACCACACTGTTTTTAGTATTAGATATATTAAGGCTTGTAGTACTTTCACTTTCAGTGTGGTGTGACATTGAGGTTTATGT